GCGATGGCTGTTGTGAGATGAGCTGGCCGCTGCACCCCAGGGCACCACTGCAGCTTGGCTACGGAGCAGTGGATGTAACATCAGCGTGTGAAAAGTCACAAGTGCTAGATCTGCAGGATGGCGATGCTCTGGTGGCAGCCCAATAGCAGCCAGCTGGATCTGAGATCTCGAGAAGAACCGAGCTCAGGACAACGGCTCCCAGGAGATTGGCTTTGTTTCCTAAAATCTCAGCCAACGTGGGTGAGTTAGAAATCTCAGCTGTCAGTAAGAAAAATGCTCTGCTTCTGGCACTGAAGGTAGCAAGAGAAAGTTGGAAAAGTTTTGGTATTTGACCCTTCAAGACTCTGAAGCAAGGAGACAAACAGGAGGTTAGAAACTTTAAAACCTTGTAATTTTGCAGCCCATCTCCTGATTTCCAAGTCCCGAAGCCAATACAGAGACCAGTTATTACCTCCTGCATGGGCTACTGAGGACTCTTGCAGAACGCAGTTTGAGTTTCCTTTGACTGAAGGTTAATCGACCCCTCCCTCGTCTGCAGAAGAAACCTCTCAGAGTTTTTTTTCCATTGGATTTTGTTTTCTTCAGAGAGCAAGGGAAACTTTCAGAATTTTGGACAGGTCATGTTTTCCCCTGCTCTTCATTTGTATACATGTGTACGAATTCAGAAAGTACGTGTTGGCACAAGATGTTGCCCTCAAAGACTTGCTAGATTTAAATCTAGATAAGCAGTCAAGCTTAGTCATCTGAATTTTAACTACATTTTACTAAGCTTACTACGTTTTGTGAGTGAATGGTACAAGAAGAAATTCTCCAAAAGCCTTTAAAACAACCAAGTATTGTTCGGTAAATTCCTAATCCATTTCTAATTCCCACCAATTCTAATTCTCCACCAAATTTTGACACATCACAAGAAAAGAAGAAAGAGGAAAAGACAGGGAGTGAGCCCCGACAACGAGGTCTCACAATAAGCAAAATTCAGTTCAGATCTGTTGGCAGCATCCAAAGAAACCTGGTCCCAAAATCGCAGTGTGTTCTTGCAGTAGGCTGGTATGTTGTTGTCGTTATTTGCTTGTTGGTACTCTTCCAATTTTTGAGAAATCACAACTATAAACTTGAAAGACGAAGCCACAGCACTGATATGTTTGGCACAGAAAAGCAGATTCAACACATGCTGACATGGGGACTTAACAAAGGCTGGTTGGTTATAAATGCATCGCATGCTAAAAATGCTGCAGGAAGGGTACAAAGTGTGAGATGTTAGGTGTGCTCTGGCTGCTTTGAGCTGCAGGTACCCATGTCATGACCAAGGAGAGGCTGAGATGCCCCTCGTACCACTGCTGGCTCCTTCTTTGTATGTGGCTGAACAAAATGGTTGGGTTCACAGAGGATGAGAAGCTCAGAGGGCAGCTGGTGCTTCTACATTCTGCTCAATCATGTCCAGAGCTAAGGTCCATCCATAGGTGTCATAGGTGCTGTGCTGGCATCAGTGGGAACCTGCTTCTGTTTCAGTGGAGCTGGAAGCTCATGGCAGAGAGCTCTGCATATCCCTTCACACCACCAGCCTGTCATCTTCACATCTGGAGGACGGGCTTTCAAAGCCCATTGCCATCATGTCACCTCACTGTCCCAAAGGAGCTTTGCACATGGTTCAGTGCAGAGCCAGCACTTGTCTCAAGCTTCTCTATCAGGCTCTAGAAAACATCAAGAGTAAAAATGAATACCATCTTCAAATAAGAAATGAAGGAACCCCTCAGCCCACTGGTACCTGAGGATTCAGACGGCAGCAGAACTGCTAGGAATACAGACCTCTGGTGACACAGAAGCTACCTGACCACTCATAATAATTGTAACAAGAAATGCAAGACTTCTTAAGGAATAATTTCCACGTTGACATCTCTGTTGGTTGCTTGCATTCTCTGCAGTGCTGTGGTCATCCCTCTCCTTACAGCCAGTGGCAGAACAGGCCATGGGAGAGGAGACCAGAGTGTCACAAAGGCCCAACCACAGCTGTGATGCTCCCATGGGCCAGAGCCTGCTAGAGAAAGACAAAGAGCCCAATGGTCACTGCCAGCATCCAAGGGCACAAGCACAGCTCCAAAGAGATGTTAAGATCAACTGCAGCACTGTCACTTGTGTGTTATGCCTCAGCAATCTCGTGTGCTTCAGAGGAAGATAAAATGAATGGCAGCTGCCAAATCTTCCTGCAGTGAATGAAGGGCAGGAGCTCCCTGGGGACAAGAGCTGGGGATGCAGTGATGCCAGGTTGCATTCAGATCCTTTTGGTCAACCAGAGAGAGTGGTTATCCACCAACCCTGCTCTGAAAAGTCACTGCCAGTGAACCTCTGTCCTCTCTGCTGCAGAAGGGGCCAATTCTGGATGGGTTCTGCCCATCACATCTGTCTTCATCCACAGCTTTGCCAGGCAGCACGAAGAAAACTCCAGTGAGAGAGGAAACTTTGCTGCCTGCCCTGACACCCCAGCCTTTGGCAGTGTTACCAGCTCATACACACAGCCCTTGTCTCCTGCCTCAAGAAACAAACTTACCTTTGTTCTGACCTTTTCCTAGCAGCAGGAGACCCTTGTTCTGTGACAAGTTTCAGTGAATTTGTTTCACACAGTCATAAACTAGGGAATAAAACGTCTCTGCAATCTCTGTGTTTCCAGACACCGGAGGATTAACTCATTGCTTCTTCCCAGCTAAAAACTCCTTTTTGCCATGTTCAGTACGTGAATGTAAAGCTGGGTTACTCCCTCAGAGAAAAATAAAAAGAAGTTTTTTGAACTTTTAAGTCAACCTGGAGCCAAGAACCAAATTGGATTTCTCAACCCTTTCCCACCATGCATGCTATAGGACTGAACATCTATAGTACCAAGCCCCATCTTTTTTTACTCTGTCTCCTCTCTCTCTGCATGAATCCTCAAGAAAAATACAAGGTGCAGAAGCAGTGCCTCCCCAGACATCTCAGCTCATGTGGCCCAAGGGGCTGACCACAGAACATGACGAACTGAGGCAGAAAGAAAATGCAGCCCATCTTCTGCTTTGCCAATCTGTATTCTACAGACACCAATCATCCAAACACCTCTAAATCTTCCTGGTAAAAGAATATCAAAGCCACAATCCCTATGGGAAAATGCTAGCACTTGGATCAAGAAAATGAAACCTCATTTACACCAGTTGGCAGCTTTGGACTTTATGGATGTCGTGTAACGTGGGTGCCATCAATCCCTGCACTAAAAACCAAGACACATAGATGTTAACTCCATTTTATTTTTGCTTTCTCACTTGTCAAAATCTCAACAGTAAGCCAGGCTTGCATAAAATATTCAATTCTACATGGAGCCACAATTCTTTGAGAACACAGCACAACAGCTCCCGCATGAGCCTGTTTGCAACAGGAGCTCTCACTGCATTAATTCTCTGGCTGCCTATCAACAGCTTCTGCAACTACTTGTTAGTTAAGTTAGTTAGGATAGTGAAAGAAAAAGAAAGGATGGGGAGATGTAAAGAGGGTGAGTTGAACTCGGGGAAGCTGCACAGTGGAGTGCTGCAGAAGCAGCTCATCTCATCTCTGCTGTCACTTCCAAATGCTGTCTCTTCCAAATGCTGTCTCAGTGGGGCATGCACTGTTTTCCTGCCCAGAAGCACAGAGCAGTGCAATGCCAAAACGCTTTGCCTGCTACAGCCATGCAGCTCGCAGCCCAGTTGCTTCGTTCTGACTTTGCAGCATGGCTTCATATCACAGCACCAAGAGGAAGGCCGTGCCTTCTGTTCGGCTGTATGTCTTTTATGTTAGTCAGGTGCTAAACAAATAAAATCAATTCTGAACTTAGAAAAAGCAATTGGAAATGTCTAGTCTTTTATAGTGAAATCTCAACTGCAGCAGCCCACAGCACTTGTAGAAAAATCAATCATTGTTTCCATCCCACTATGCATGCCACTGAAATTAAGAATTGATGTTTGGCTGCAAAGGAAAATTATTTCAAGCGAACCACCTTAGCAACAGTTTTCAGTGTTCATAAAACTCCTGTTTACGTTTCTTCTCATAACAGACAAACTCCTACATCCCACCATGAATAATAAATATTAATGGCTAATCCTGATTTACATAGTTTCCATCTTAACGGGCATCAAAATTGCAAGCAGGGCAACAGCACTACTTACCGTAATAGCAAGTAGTAAACAAGCCGTCAGCCTAAAGATGCCATAAACCTGTGTGTTCAACGCCCCTGTAATTACACTGCCCCTCACATCCAAGTGAAACTTGGTATTATTTTGCCGTGGCCTTTTCATAAAGACTGAAAGCCCGGGGAGCCAGGCAGACATGTGGAGCAGCACTTATCTCTGAGGCAGCCGAAATATTATGGCGTTATGTCCGTCTGAAAGCACTGCTCCCCCACCTGCAATTTGCATCAGTGCAGATATCACTGCATGATCTGAGGAATGCATGCTGTGTTGGTATCTGTCTGGTGCATGCTATGGTCACATCAGACACCACCCAGACCTCCAGTTGATGTCTGTCCTATAGCAGCTGTGTGTGTGTTTAATGACATGTGCAGTGGCTTTTCACAGCGCACAGTGTTAGAACACACCTGGTCCATCAGTGTCCTGGAGCAGTGACAGCACTGCCCTCGGTGCAGGCTGGGCATTGACTCTCATTGTCCCTTGCAGCTGAATCACAGAACCACAGAATGGCCAGGGTTGGAAGGGACCTCAAGGATCACGAAGCTCCAACCTCCTGCCACACACAGGGCCACCAACCTCCTCATTTAATGCTAGACCAGGCTGCCCAGGGCCCCATCCAACCTGGCCTTGAACACCTCCAGGGATGGACGGGGCATCCACAGCCTCTCTGGGCAGCTGTTCCAGCACCTCACCGCTCTCATGGTAAAGAACTCAAGCTGGAGGGACAGTAAGCTATTTTGCTCCAATCTGTCATGACCAGGACCTATGTTTGTGGGTGTTTTTGTTTTTGTTTTTTTTTCCCAGTGAAAATATCTTACACATGCACAGTGACTAATTACCAGGTTTCAATTAGTGCCCACGATGCGGCAGCCCTGGAATTCACCCACCTGATGGCAGCACTGGAAGGGACGCGGTTCTGCCCTGCTTTCCTTTCACCTTCAGAAGCACTCAGCCAACTTTTGGAATTCGCTGCCTTGGCTTTGATAGAGAAATTGCGATGTACGGTTAAATGACAGCGGTGCAGAACGCTGTTACAATTGAAGTCTGGAAAATGAACTTTAATAAAACTCTCTCCGGCAATATATACTGCGACGGCACTTTCATTCTCCCCGCTACGCGGCGAGATGCCGCAGCAGCCTCGAGCCACGGAGAGCAGACAGCGTGCGGATAAACGGCCCCAGAACCTCACGGAGAGCACTGACACCTAGCGGGGCAGCACGGCGGGGCTGCGCAGCGTCTCTTTGGCTTTAGCTGATGGGAGAACGCTAACAGCAGCCTCTTGTCTTGCTGAACAGCAGGCGCCGGCTTGGTGCTCGCGCTGCTGTGAGCGCATTGCTTTGCAGCTCTGATGGCTGCTTTGCAGTTCTGATGACTGTTTTACAGCTCTGATGGCTGCAGCTCTGATGACTGTTTTGCAGCTCTGATGGCTGCATTACAGCACTGATGACTGCTTTGCAGCTCTGATGGCTGCTCTGCAGCTCTGATGGTTGCTTTGCAACCGATCGCTGCTGGCTCCCGCTCCGTCAAGGCGCCACGGGTGCAGAGGGAGGGCTTGCTGCGGGTCGGTACTGAGTTTGAAGCACGAAGAGGAGCAGCTACGTGCCCGGTGCGATGACAAGGGGGAACGGCTGTAAGCCAGCCCGGGGAGGCGCGGAGCTCCGTGCGCATGCGCTGCGGCGGCGCCGCCATGGCGCTGCTGCGCTCGCTGTGCTCCGTGCTGTGGCTCTGCGCGCTGCGGGTCCCCGCGGGGCCCGGCGCTGCCGCCCGAGGGCTGGACGTGGCTTCGTACCGGTGAGATCGGGGCCGGGAGGGGCTGGGTGAGGGTGAGATCGGCGGGGTGCGAGCGCTGCGCTGTGTGTGCCGCAGGGAGCGGGTGCGCGCCATGTTCTACCACGCCTACGAGCACTACCTGGAGAGCGCGTTCCCGTACGACGAGCTGCGGCCGCTCACCTGCGACGGGCACGACACGTGGGGCAGGTGAGGGCGGAGGGGCGGGGAGGAGCCGGGCGGCCGGCCGGGCATCAGCTCCGTGCTTCAGCTCCGTGCTTCCCCGCAGCTTCTCGCTGACGCTGATCGATGCCCTGGACACGCTGCTGGTGAGTGCGGGTTGTGTGCCAGCGCCGCGCCGCCCTCTGAGCAAAGAGTTCGTACTCGCATCTAACCTCAATCCACCTCTGTCCCTTTAAAGCCGTTCCCCTACCGCTATCAATCCGTGTAAAAAGCTGAATTATCCCCGATCGTGGGCTCGTGCCCCTGTTTTCCCGTGCTGTCACGCTCTTGTCACGCTGCAGATCCTGGGAAATGTCACCGAGTTCCAGCGCGTGGTCACCGTGCTGCGGGAAGGGCTGGATTTCGATATCGACGTCAATGCGTCCGTCTTCGAAACGAATATCCGAGGTGAGGTGGGTTTTTCTGTGCTTTGTGGTGCTGTGAGAGCCTGTGGGGTGCAGGCAGAGGTAATAACCTCGCGGGGAGGCTGTAACACTCACTCACTCATTCACAACACTCAGAAAAACTCCAGTAAGTGCCACCTCCTTCCTGTCTTTGCAGGGCACCTTTCTGCTTCCTGCCTCAGTGTGCACAGGAGTTACACGTGTCACTTTCAGTATCCTAGTGCCGAGTTTTAAGCTTTGCTGTAGGCGTATCTTCCACGGAAACAGTGTGGATTTAATGCGCTCCTTTTTGATGTACTGTTTTGGAAGAAAGATTATATTGTCCCCCTCTGTTCTGCTCTTGTGAGGCCGCATCTGGAGTGCTGTGTGCAGGTCTGGAGCCCTCAGTGCGAGAGAGACAGGGAGCTGTTGGAGAGGGGCCAGAGGAGCCACAGAGATGATGAGGGGACTGGAG